GGGGGGGGTTTCCGCTTGGGAAGAGCCGGGAGGGGCCCCCAAAAACTTCGAACCTTCGGGGGGGGTGGAGGCTGCACAGTTCTTGGGGGGAAGGTTCGCGTTTGCCGGTTGGGGGGCTCCCCACTTAGGGCACGGTTGGGGGAAGGAAGAATTGTCTAAGGAAGCCAAGGGCCAAGGGGGAGGGGGGAGCCACTTTTCCTTGGGACAACCCAAGAAACGGCGGCGGCGCCAAGGGCGCCGCCAAGGGCGCCGGCGGCGAAGGGGCGGGCAACCCCCCGGGGGGGCAGCGGTGGGCGAGAACCTTTGTAGGGGCCAGAAGGGGCAGTGCTGGTTCCGACGGGGGGTTTGGGTTAAGGGACGAAAAGGGTTCCCTCGCGCTAAAGGGAGCGGGGTGGTCTTTGTGGGGGGGCTTGGACCCCCCCCCCCCCAAAAAAACATTACCCCCCCCCCCCCCCACCCCACCCCACTCCCTGACACACCCCACCCCACCCCACTCCCTGAGACACGCACAGCCCAGAGGCGCAGCCCAGAGGCACGCAGCCCGGAGCGTACCTCCAACCTCCTGCTCCTGCGGATGACAGGCCCGCGCGGCGCACACGCCGGCGACTGCGCGCGCGACGGTGTCTCAGGCGCCACGCCGCCCCCGCCCGCCCCGCCCGCCGCTCCCTCGCCTTCTAACCCTCCCGTCTCCCCGCTCCTTCTCCCCTCGCCGTCTCCCCTCCCCCCTATATGCTCTCTCTCCTCCCTCCTGATCCGTCCCCAGCTTGGCGCCAGGCACGCATGCTTGAGGCGCAGCGGCAGCGGGCAGAGGCGGGCCGCCGCCGACCGACGGTACGAAATTGGGCGGCCGGGCCGGGAGACGCGTGACACGCTAAGCTTCCACTCAGTCGTGGCACCGTTTCTCATGCATGATTGTGCATGCTCCATGCACCACATTTTTGAAGGTCTCCGTGTGTGGTGAGAAGAAGGCGCCGTGAGTGTAGTGTGTAGATGAACGAATGAAATCGAAAAACGGCCAAAGGCAAAGCAACAAACGCTCTTGAGACCTGCTCGTTGACGAGAGTCGAGACGGAGGGATCGGAGATGGAAAATAAAAGAAATCGGGGGGCGGGACCCACTTCGCCACAGTCCCACAGACGGTCCCGCGCCTCGCCGCTAGGACGGCGACACGGCCGCGGCTCGTGTGCGTGTCGCCGTCTTTGTCCGGAGTGAAGACTCCAACGCGCTCGTCGGTGACGGTGTCCTCCAACCTGCGCCGCGCTCGGCGAACCTCGACAGCGCCTTCGGTGGCATGCACCTCTTTGCGACTGAAGCCTGGAGAGCAGCTCCTCTGCTGCTCACACGCTCTGCACAGACGGCACAGCCTATTGTGCGGCTGCCACAGCTGTGACAGCGATGGGCTCGCCCTCACTGGCCCTCAGTCACTTGTGCTGCGGCTTGTGTGAGCGACACTGCTCGGCGACTGCCGGCACACTGTGAGACCATGGGCGTGAGGTTAAACCACGCTAACCAGCGCTTGGTCACATTGGCCCCGAGGTCAGATCCTTCTACTCTCTTAGTGACAAGACTTGTCTACTGGCTGGAGCCGAGCAGGAGGGCCCGGCGCACAACCCCTGGTCAACTCACGGTCCACACCCCGTAGACCTCTTCAGATCTATCTAGCGCGGTTAGAGGCTGAGGGCCGGTAAGCGCGAGGGAACTAAAGTGCGGTGGGAGCTGGGACGTGCGCCCGATGCACGTGATAAGCTATTCGAGGCATCTTGTTACAAGTTTCCCCTCAACTTCGCGGTGAAAATGTTTGGTCGACGTTGCAGATGCGAGATGTACAAAAGTCGAAGAGAGAACGGTTGCGAGATGGCACAGATGCGTTGCCCTCCTCTGTCCGGTGCGACTTACACAAGCCTGTTTACCAGTACTTTTGTCCCTTTCCCGCATCACAACTCCCCCTTCTCGTTGTCGTCATCGTCGCCACCCGTCGCTGTTCTCACCCTCACGCCACACTCCCCCGGCTGCGCCTCGCCGCACAGGGTCAGCAGCTCCTCCGCCCGCGCGGTGCCGCCGCCGTCCCCGAGCCGGCTGCGTGCGGCCGCGATTAGGTTGCCGACGACAAAGCCGGCACCGACCCCTGGCTTGGGACGTGCGAAGCCAGGCAGCCCTCCTAGGCTGCCGATGGCTGAGTAAGCGGAGGAGAGCGCCTGGTGAGATCAAAAGGGCCCACGTCGGGGCATGGCCAGGGCTTGAGCTATCCCGCTGGTGCGAGGGCGGTAGGGCACCTCGACGCACGCGGCACCTCCAGCCGGCGCCGGCTTTGTGCAACAGGCTGCCAGGTCGACGAGGAGGTCGTTAGCGAACGAGGCAATGCCTCCCTCCTCAACGATTGCGGAGACCTTGTCGAGCAAGCACCCTGCCACCTGAGGTCCGTCCGACCTGCTGCGCACAATGTCGTCGTCGCCGGAGAAGAAATTGTTCTGGGCGCGGCCCGCTTGGATGGTGGCAACCATTGCTTCCAAGGTGGCGGCAGCTGGCTTGTCCGCAGAGGCGAGGGAGAGGAGGAGGGTCGCGAGAAGGGCGGCAGCAGCGCTCCGTGTCGCGCGAAGCGGCATATGTTGTACCCGCCCAGTTCTCTTCCACCTGCTGATGCGGGGCTCCCTCCCGCGAGCTGGCAGCCCTCTGGAGATGTGCGCTGATATGAAACGCGTAAGACAACAACCGAACGCGATGCAGGGTTCGGGCTCCTAGCCTTCTAGGGGGTCTCACATTGGCCCGTACCCACCTATCTGGAGCGGTGACGGCCCGCCCCTACCTACCTATGTGTCAACCCGGGACGGGCCGCCTCGTGGGTCACGCCAAGTTTAGCCGCGCTTCTCCCGCGCGCTACTGAGCACTGAGCACTGGAATAGGGTCGATTCCGCATGGTACGGGACCCCTCGATCGTCTCACCCTCCCTCGCTGGTGTGCTCATGGGGGGGGGTCATAACAAACACGGTCCAGGATCGAGGTGCACGCCGCCGAGGGACCTCGGAGGGTAGATCGGGCGGTGTCGTCCCCCCTCTCCATCATCTCCGCGGAGATGTCGTCGGTGGTGGCGGTTGTGACCGATCGAGCTACAAGAGGAGCTTGTTCAGCAGGATCCGGGATGGTCAGATGCACTACCTCACTGGGCCTGAGACCACCGCACGACGCACCCATCACCGTCTCGGGTTTATGTGGAGTCGAACCACTCCGGGATGGGCAAGCCCATCAAGTCATTTTCGTCAAAGTAGAGCTCGAGCAAGATGTTCAGCCGCCCGCACGTCGTCCCCCGCACGCTGCCGGATCCCATATTGGTTGGGGACCCGTAGCATCATGCCCTTGGCCCGCGTGCGAGGCAATAATCCGACGTCCTGCTGGGGTGCCGGCCCGAAGCATGTACCGCCATACAGCTGTATGCGGCCCTGGGATGACACGTCTCATAGCGCCGAGTGCCGCTGGCGTGCGACATCGGCGGAGCAACGTGCTGAGCACATCGGGAGAAACCCAGAAAGGCCCGCGCAAGAAGACGAGGCGCGGCCGTCCAATGACCATCGCGGCAAAGGGGACTCAAAGGATGCCACTGCTGTCTCCACGCTTGGTGGCCAATCCCAGCAGTGCACCAACCTTCCGCCACACCGCACACGCTCGCCGCAGCTGTGAATCAAAAAAATAGCGAAAGACTAGAGACACCAAGCGCCCTCTCCCCGTCTAATCACTCCTCGTCCGGAGCGGCTGCGCTCGAGAAGCTCTCAACACTCAAGCTCACAGGCGGCCCATTGGATTGTGCGCGGGCATTGGAGATTAAATGTGCAACGCATGGCCGCTAAAGGCTCTCAGAACGCATGCCCCATGAGTGTGTGTCATGCCTCATCTCATGGTGTCCGCACGCGCCGCCCGTGTGTGTGTGTGCACGAGAGACAGTAAGCCACCCCGTAAAAGAAAGGCACGATGCATTGCGGCCAGAGCTGCTCCGACGCGGCCGTGCTAGCGGTGGAGCGTGGCGAGGAGGAGGCGGTGCTGGCGTGGCTCGACAGCGGCGGGCGGGCCGACGCGACGTACGAGAGAGGCGGCTTGAGCGGCCTCACGTTGCTGATGGGCGCCGCCAACTACGGCCACGAGCGGGTGGTCGAGCTGCTGCTGCAGCACGGCGCGGAGGTCAACCTGCAGAACAGCGGCGGTGGCACCGCGCTGATGGCCGCCGCCAGCCAAGGCCACGAGCGGGTGGTCGACTTGCTGGTACGGCGCGGCGCTGAGGTTAACTTGCAGGCTAGCAATGGCGGCTACACCGCGCTGATGCTCGCCGCTTTCTTCAACCACCCCGCCGTCGTTCGGCGCTTGCTGCGGGCGGTCGCAGACGCGGCGGCGCGCGATGAAAAGGGCAAGACGGCGCTTCAGTGGGCCAAGGAGAAGGGCAACGCCGCGTGCGTCAAGGTCTTGTCGGAGGCGGCGGCGGCTGCAGACGGCCGGTCAGGGGCGGGCGGTGCCTCCTCGGGCGCGGCAGCGGCAGCTGTGGACGCGCCGCTGCTTGGGCAGCGAGTCGAGCTCGGCGGCCTCTCTGCCCGCCCCGAGCTGAACGGGCGGCTGGGCGTGGCGCGGAGTTTCGAGGGCGGGCGGTACGCTGTGGCGCTCGAGGGCGGCGGCGAGAGCGTGCGGGTGCGGCCGGGTAATCTGTCGGCGGCTGCGGCGGAGCGGGCTTCGAGCGGTGCCGCGGCAGCCTCCGATGCGGTCATGGCAGCGGTTCGACGGGGCGAGGAGGAGGCGGTGCTGGCGTGGCTCGAGGGCGGCGGGCGGGTCGACGCGACGTACGAGAGAGGCGGCTTTAGCGGCCTCACGCTGCTGATGGGCGCCGCCTACAACGGCCACGAGCGGGTGGTCGCGCTGCTGATCCGGCACGGCGCGGAGCTCAACCTGCTGGACAGCCTCGGCCGCACCGCGCTGATGAACGCCGCTTTCAACGGCCACGAGCGGGTGGTCGACTTGCTGATACGGCGCGGCGCGGAGATCAACCTGCAGAACAATGTCGGCGGCACCGCGCTGATGTGGGCCGCCCTCTTCAACCACCCCGCCGTCGTGCGGCGATTGCTGCGGGCTGGCGCAGACACGGCGGCGCGCGATGAAAAGGGCAAGACAGCGTTGCAGCTGGCCAAGGAGAAGGGCAACGCCGAGTGCGTCAAGGTCTTGGCTGAGGCAGCGGCGGCTACAGACGGCCGGGCGGGGGCGGGCGGCGCCTCCTCGGGCGCGGCAGCGGCAGCTGTGGACGCGCCGCTGCTTGGGCAGCGAGTCGAGCTCGGCGGGCTCTCGGCCCGCCCCGAGCTGAACGGACAGCGGGGCGTGGCTCAGAGCTTCGAGGGCGGGCGGTACGCGGTTGCGCTCGAGGGCGGCGGCGAGAGCGTGCGGGTGCGGCCGGGTAATCTCTCGCCAGCGGTGTCGAGGGGTGGCGTGCCAGCCCCAGATGATGTCATCGCAGCGGCTCATCGAGGCAACGAGGAGGCGGTACTGGCGTGGCTCGACAGCGGCGGGCGGGCCGACGCGACGTACGAGAGAGGCGAAGTGAGCGGCCTCACGCTGCTGATTGGCGCTGCCGTGTACGGCCACGAGCGGGTGGTCGAGCTGCTGCTGCAGCACGGCGCGGAGATCAACCTGCAAGACAGCAACGGCGGCACCGCGCTGATGAACGCCGCCGCCACAGGCCACGAGCGGGTGGTCGAGCTGCTGATTCGGCACGGCGCAGATATCAACCGGCAGGACAGCAAACAAAGCGGCACCGCGCTGATGAACGCCGCCGTCCAAGGCCACGAGCGGGTGGTTGAGCTGCTGCTGCAGCACGGCGCGGAGCTCAACCTGCAAGCCAGAGACGGCAGCACTGCGCTGATGATCGCCGCCCTCTTCAACCACCCCGCCGTCGTGCGGCGCTTGCTGCGGGCTGGTGCAGACACGGCGGCACGCAACGCGAGCGGCAAGACGGCGTTGCAGTGGGCCAAGGAGAAGGGCCACGCCGAGTGCGTCGAGGCCTTCAAGAAGCACGTCCAGGAGGTGGTGGCGGGAAGGCCCGCGGCGACGGCAGCCGGCGGCGAAGGCGCAGGCGGCGCTTCCTCCTGCGGCGCTTCCTCGGCTGGATCGAGAGTCGCGGAGACGACGCTATCTCCAGCGGTGGCGGCGGGGCGGGCGTCGAGCGGTGTCGTGGCAGTCTCCGACGAGGTCGTGGCAGCGGCTGAGCGTGGCGAGGAGGAGGCGGTGCTGACATGGCTCGACAGTGGCGGGCGGGTCGACGCGACGTACGAGAGAGGCGGCTTGAGCGGCCTCACACTGCTGATGGGCGCCGCCATCAACGGCCACGAGCGGGTGGTCGAGTTGCTGCTGCGGCGTGGGGCGGAGCTCAACCTGCAGAACAGCATCGGCGTCACCGCGCTGGTGATCGCCGCAACTGGAGGCCACGCGCAGGTGGTCGACTTGCTGATACGGCGCGGCGCTGAGATCAACCTGCAGAGGGACAACAGAGGCGGCACCGCGCTGATGCGGGCCGCCAGCCAAGGCCACGAGCGGGTGGTCGAGTTGCTGGTACGGCGCGGCGCTGAGGTCAACTTGCAGGACATCAAAGGCTACACCGCGCTGATGCTCGCCGCCCTCTTCAACCACCCCGCCGTCGTGCGGCGCCTGCTGCGGGCGGGCGCAGATGCTGCGGCGCGCACTGTTGACAGCAAGACGGCGCTTCGGGTGGCGAAGGAGAAGGGCCACGCCGAGTGCGTGCGCGCCCTCGAGGAGCACTCGTCGACCGCAGCAGAGGCGGAGGGGGAGGCGGCGGTCGCAGAATCAGCCGAGCAGGCGGCGGCCGCACGCGAGGCGGCAGCGGCTGCGGAGGCGGCGGAGGCGCGCGATGCTGCCGAGGCGGCGCTGCGCGAGGCGGTTGAGGCGTGCGAGCGAGGCGACGCCGATCTCGAGGCGCTCAGGGCGGCGATCAACGCGAACACCCAGGCCGCCGACGGCTCGGAGGCGCTGGGGGCGGCGCGGCGGCTGCGCGACGAGCTGGCGGAGAGAAAGACCCGCGAGGCCAGGGCGCTGAAGCGGCAGCGGCAGAAGGAGGAGAAGGCGGCGGCGAGGCAGGCGGCGGCGGCTGAGCGGGCAGCGGAGGAGGAGGAGGCGCGGGCGGCTGAGGAAGCGGATCGGGTGGTAGCAGAGGCTGCGGCGGCGCGGGCGGCGGAGGAGGCGGAGGAGGCGTCGCGGGCAAGGGAGGAGGCAGAGGCGCGGGCAAGGGAGGAGGCAGAGGCGAGGGCGAGGGAGGAGGCGGCAAGGGAGAGGGAAGAGGCGAGGATGAGGGCGGAGGCGGAGGCGGCGGAGGTGGCGGCGGCGGAGGCAGCGGCGGAGGTGGCGGCCGTAGAGGCGGCAGCGGCGGCCGTGGCGGCGGCGGAGGCTCAAGAGGCGGCGGCAGCGGAGGCGGTGGCAGCGGCGGCGGAAGCGGCAGCAGCGTCGGCTGCGGCGAGTGTCGCCGCCGTCGCCGCCGCCGCCGCGCCGCCCGCCGCCGTCCCTCTCGACGAGCTCATCGCGGCGACCGACGGTTTTGCCGAGGCGCACAAGGTGGGCGAGGGGGGCTTTGGGCGCGTGTACCGCGCCGACGCGCTGCCGTCGCTTCCGCGCGTCGCTTGCGGGTTCGCTGTCAAGACGGCGCTGGTCGGTGTCGGCGCCCAAGGCCTCGCCGAGCTGCAGAGCGAGGTGCGCACGCTCAGCGCGGCGTGCCACCGGTCGCTCCTCCCTCTGCTCGGCGTCTGCTTGGCACGGGCGAGAGCGTGCCTCGTCTACCCCCTCTGCCGCGGCGGCAGCCTCGAGGACCGCCTCTACCGCACTGCAGCCGCACTGCAGCGGCTCCGCATGCTCGGCTTCGAGACGCCGCCTCCGCCGCTCTCCTCCGCCGCACGGGTCCGCGTGCTGCGCGACGCGGCGAGTGCATTGCACTACTTGCACACGCTCTCTCCCATGATCCTGCACCGCGACGTCTCGGCGGGCAACATCCTGCTCGACGAGCGCGGCAACGGCTACCTCGCCGACGTGGGCCTCGCGCGCGCGGCAGAGGCGACGGCCGGCGGCAATGGACAGGTCTCGCACCTGTCGACGCAACGCATCTTTGGGAAGCCCGGCTACATGGACTCGATCATCATGCACGACGGTCAGGCTTCTCAGCTCACCGATGGCTTTGCGCTCGGCATCACGCTTCTCGTCGCCCTGACCGGCCGCGGCGCTCTCGGCTTGCTCAACGCGTGCGAGGATGCGCTGGAGGAGCCCGACACGGCGGAGAGCATCGCGGCGGCTGACGCGGGCTGGTCGGCGGCGCAGGCCGAGGAGCTGACGCGGCTGGTGGTCGGGCTGGCGTACGAGCGGAAGAAGAAGCGGATGCCGCTCGCAGAGGCGCTGCCGCGGCTGGAGGCGCTGGTCGAGGCGGCGCGGGAGGTGGAGGAGACGGCTGGGGCCGAGGAGCGCCAGTGTGACCTATGCTGGGACGCGCCGCGCTCGGTCCGCTTCGCGTGCGGCCACGCGCTATACTGCGAGACGTGTGCGCCGCGCGTGCTGGAGCGCGACACCAACTGCCCGGCCTGCCGCCAGCCGGCGCTGCCCATCGCCGCAACTGGGCGGCTGGTGGCGGCGCAGTCGACGTTTGTCTACCAGCCGCCCTCGCGCCCCGCGCCCCAGGCTCAGCCCGTGGGCGCCACGGCGGCGGTCGGTAGGCGAGGGGGGCGAGGCGGGCGAGGCGGACGTGGACGTGGCGGGCGGGGCGGGCGGGGCGGGCGGGGCGGGCGGGGCGCGGGGCGCGGCGGCTCTGCTTAGTGAGGGTCCGCCCGCATGTACAGTGTGTGCGAGTACAGGCCCTTCGAAGAGAGAGAGCACTCGCAATTGTAAATAAAAGCACCGAAAATTGTTTTTGCCTGTTGACTGTTGTGAGAGAGGTTTTAGGAGCCACAACAAGAGATCTAGCGGCGGGTAGCGGGGATGGAGGAGACGCACGCCGCCACGTATTGACGGAATTCGGGGTTCCGGAATTCTTTTTTGCAGAACACTGGGCACGGCATCGGCGTTTTTTGAGTCTGCTGCCGGCGTGTCGACGAGCCACGCGCTCGTGTTGAACTGCTTCTCAAGCTCGCTCGCAACTCCACTGCTGCCTGTCATGTCGATCGAAATCATCGACGACGCGGGGCTCTCGTCCTCGACACGGTCACGGACCTGCCGGACGTGCGGGCAGCTCGGCCACTATGCGAGGAACTGCCCGTCCAAGCCGCCTGAGATAGGGTGCCCACAGGACCCAAATAGCTCTTGCTCAAAAAGGGACGCACGAGGCGAAATCTGATGTTGGATTGTTCCAATAGGAGAGAGGCCTCTTCCGTGGGGGGACCGAGTGACTAGGAAACGAGGGTTTCCCATTGTGACCCGCTCCAGCGCGAGCGTGACACTGCACTTGGCGCCGAGCGGCCGGGGCTCAGACCTTGTGCAGGCCTCCCCTCGGTGCAAGCACCGGTCCGGACCGATGGCGCTCGGTGTGTGGAGCAAGCAAGACCCCCCCCCCCCCCCCCATCGGCGCGCGCCCGAGGTTTGAACGGCCGCCAGGAGCACCAAGAGGACTCCTCATGGCTGCACTCAAGTGGGCTTCGACCGGCCTCGGCTGGGGGGGCGGGTTGTCCCGGTTGCGGCTTCTGCAGCCCCCTGGGCGTGGGTCAGCACCCAAAAACTGCCCCCCGGCGGCATACAGCACTGCCAGCCAGCCTCTTCCTCCTCCTCAAGGGCTGTACTATGGCCATATTGCGCCGACTCCTACTGGCAGCCGGGCGGGCGCGCGCCGCGGGCGCCTCGGCGCGCGCACGGCTCGCAAAGTTCGAACGAGTACTGCCGCCCGGCCGCCTCAAGGCTGCCGGGCGGCAGTACTCGCCTCGCAAGGCGCGCACCGGCTGCTCTGGCTGCTGCGCCGGCGGCCGCTGCGCTGGCCGCTGCTGCGCCGGCTGGCGAGCGGTACGGCCGCCGGCGGCCGCTGCACCCGCGCCTTCCCTCGCGGGCGCCGTCGCGCCGCGCGCGCCCAACTCTGCTGGTACACGGCACGCGTCGTCACTCAGCCGCGGAGAACAGGCGGTGCTGTGCGCGAAGCGCGCGCGATCTCGTACTTTTAAGGCTGGATCCGGCCATTCCAAGGGTATACCTTTGAGTGAGAATCCCCAGCGTCCCACCTTGGCCTGTACGAGGGTTTCCTCTCGCACCCTACCTGGTTTCCTTTCCGTGTTTCCTGCTTGTTTCCCTACAACACCCTCTAGTTTCCTCGGGAAACTCCGGGGAAACTCCGTGGAATTTGTCATTTTGGGGGGGCTCTGAGCCGTGTCTGAGGCTGTTTTGGGGCCAAAATCGGCAAAATACCGGGTATTTTGCGGGTATACCTGGAAAACCCCGGTATACCTGGAAAATACCTGGGTATCGTGCCGATTTCCTCAATTTTGCCCCAGATTTTGCCCCAGACCAGCTCTCAGACTCAGGGAAACTCGCGAGTTTCCCGAGGGAAACTCGAGAGAAACAGAATGGAGCACCAAACACCCTCTGGTTTCCCTGGAAACCTCCGGAAACGCAAAGTGCTGGGGACCCTCTGGTTTCCCTCTGGGTTGCCGGAAACCCTCGGACAGGCCAAGTCCCACCCTCCTAGTCACAATATCTCGAATCTCCAACACGAAGTGCTGCGAAAAAGAAAGAAAGAAGAAAGCCCGGCAAGGGAGTGCTGCGATGGCGCGCCCTTTCTTTTTTTGACACTACTTACGCAGAGCTGAAAAGAATCTTACAACAAAACTCCCTGGCACAACACTAGGGCTAGCCGCAGGCAGCTAGCCTCTGAGGAGGGCGTCCATAGACACCTCACTAGACCCCACACACGGTCTCGTCCGTGCCTCGCCGGCCGGAGAGATTGCTGGAGGTAGAGCAAGCCTGCTCTAGCCTCGCATGTCACTTCCTGTCGTCTGGTGTGTCGTTGTGCCCTTGTTTGTTCTCTTGGCACCTTGGAGTGCTGGGGGGGGCGACAGGGAGGATGTATGTGGCCTTGAGTTATGTGTAAGCCGACTCAGGGTGTGTGGCAGCCCGCTGGCTGTGTGTCTTGTGAGCTTGTTTGTGTCTGTGTGTCGTTCGTGCGTGTCGTCATCATCTGTCCAGCGTCCACCCATACCGCGTTGGTGTCCAGTCCGAGCCTGGCTGTTCTTCACCTTTCTACCTACCTACCTACAACACTGGGCACGGGACTGGCGCGCACTGGCACTAACACAGGTACACCACGGGAGCCGCCTAAGCGACTCCTGCGAGGGTGGCGAGGCACTTAGCTCCGTGCATCCGCCCACCCCCGCCACAGGCAAGCTCATTCACGACCTGCTCTGCGATGGCCGTGTGAAAAGAGCTGAAAAAGAGCTGAAGCACACACGTCGCCGCCGAGTCGCTCGCGGCCCTCACGCACAACGCCCTCCGGCGAGGTCGGCCACTTGCAGCGGAAACTCGAGGTCAAACCTGGCGCGAAGGCGTCTGCGACAATGGAAAAAACGCCGCGCAGTGACCACCAGCCTCCGGCTCTCGTGCTCTACCTCCTCACCGACCAGCAGGCCCTCTGGACCGTGTCGGGCATCTACCGCCTCGCACGGCGCGGCGGTGAGGCCTCGCTCTCGGCCACGGCGGACTTTGGGTGGCGCGAGCCGCCGGTCGCGACGCCGCACCACGACCGGCTGCTGCGCGAGGGCGCCTTCTTCGCCAACTTCCACGTCTCGGGCCTCTGGTGCGTGCCGTCACGCGGCGCGCTCATGACGTCACGGTCAGTCTCGCGGCTTTCGCGGGGTGAGGGAGGGCCTGGCAGCGGCGCAGAGGGCAGCTCGAGCGTGATCGGCGGGTGCCTGCACGCGCGCACGCCGACGATGGGCGCTGCCTTCCGCGCGGCCGGCTACGCCACCGCATACGTCGGCAAGTGGCACCTGGCCGCGGGTTGCAACAGCCGGGCGGCCGAGGAGGCGGCAGCGCCAGAGGCGATGCCTCGCGGGACAAACGGCTTTGATCACACCCGGCACATGCTCGCGCTCGGTCACTACAAGACGTTGGTCGACGTGGACGAGCAGGGAGGCCGCCTCCCGTCGCTGCGGCGCTGGCAGGGAGGCTCGTGCAGCCGCAAGCCCGTGCGGTGGCTCAAGCGCTCGCGCGCCCCCTCCCCCCTCTCCGACACGAGCATCCACCTGGCCGCCTCAATGGACGTGCCCTGCGGCGAGGGCGCCAGAGCGCACTACTACACGCGTGCGGCGGCGCGGTGGGCGGGCAGGCTGATCGAGGAGTCGCTCCTCGACGCGAGGAGGAGTAGCGCGGGCGGCGCGGGCAAGAGGAGGCTCTTCCTCGTCCTCTCCCTCGCCGACCCCCACCAGCCATACGCCACCCTCCCCGATGCGGCGGCGCCCTTCGCTGCGGCGGCGGCGCGGCGGCCGCAGTCGTCGCTGCGGCCAGCGGGGGAGGCGCTCGCCGCCGTGCAAGTCGGTGCGCGGAAGCAGCTGCACCCGCCGCACGATCGCGCCTTCTGGGAGGGCGGCCGCTACCGCGACGTCGTGGCAAACTACCTCGGGATGGTGGCGCTGATCGACGAGGCGCTCGGCGAGCTGTCCGCCCTCGCCCTGCGGGTTGGTAACTCGACGCTGACGGTGGTCAACTCGGACCACGGCGAGATGCTCGGCGCGCACGCGCAGATGGGCAAAGGCACCATGTACGACGGCGCCCTCCGGGCGCCCCTCCTCGTGCACTGGCCTGGCCGCGTCGCCGCGCGCCGCATGGTGGGGGAGATGGCGTGCTCGCTCGACGTCTGGCCGACCCTGGCCGGGCTGATCGGCTTGCCCGCGCTCCGTCCCGCAGCGACCGACGGCGTCGACATGCACGCGCTGCTGCTGCCGGCGCGACGCCGCCGCGGCGTGTGGGCGCGCCCCGACGTGAGGATCATCGACGCCGTCTCTGCCAACGCGCAGTTTGGCACGCTCGGGGTGGCGACGCGCCGGTGGTGGCTCTCCCTCGAGGCACCGGCGTCGGTCCGCCAAAAGTACCGCCTCTGCAAGCCTGGTGATGCTCGGTGCACCAAGACTGCTCTTGGCGCGCATATCACGACCAACGGCTCGCGCGCCGACGCCTCCCACCGCCTGCGGCTCGAGGAGATGGGGGCGGCCGGCCTCTGTCGGCTGTGGGATCGCGCCGCAGACCCGACGCAGCAGACCGACCTCTGCGCGCGCCCCGAGGCGGCGGGTGTGGTGCGGGGCCTGCTGCGGGTGCTGAGGGAGCACCTGGAGGAGAGGCTGCCCGGCCACCCCGCCCTGACGGCGCACTGGTTCAAGCGGCGCCTCAACTCGAGCCTTTTGCACGCCGCTCAACTTGACCCCTCCCGCCTCCCGCATGACCCCTCCCGCCTCCCGATTGCAACCCCCGCTTGAACCTGGCCGGGCAAGTACAGGAAAGCGTTTGCACAATACGCGACGACGGTAAGGTCGTACAGGCTTCCACGCCGGGCGTGCGCGCATTCTTCTCCTTCATGGACAAGAGCAGGGAGAGAAGACGGCGCTCCAAGTGATGTAGTACGACAGCCCCGACTGTCTCGCCGGGATCCCGACCGACGCCGCCGTCGAGGCCTGCTACGCTGGCACGGACGGAGCGTTCGGTGCGGTGTGGGGTCTGCGCGACGAGGTGGTCCGGGCGTGCCTGGCCGGCCTCGTGTGTGGGTGCTTCTTTTCGAAGAGTCGCTCAACACTAATAGGTGGTCCGGGCGGCGCTCGATGCGACTGTCGTGGAGAGCGAGTACGGCTCGATGCCTCGCGGCTTCATCAAGAGCGCGCCGCACCCAGGATTCGACCCGAAGCTGTACCCCGGCGATGATGTGGATGTCGAAGCGGTTCGTGCAGCCGGGCCGCAACCCGAGCATCGCCGCCGCCTTTGGAAAGGCCCAGAGCCGCTTGTGGGGCGAGAGGCGCGGGATCATGGGGCACGCCCTTTATGCGAGGTCTCTACCACAATAGGTGGGCGACCTGCAGTACCACACCGCGCCCGCCTTCCTCTCCGCCTTTGAGTACACCGCCCCCGACGACGAGGACTTGCTCTGGTCCCTCCGCTTCTTCAATGCGAGACTGATGAGATGCGGAAGACAGTACTAACATCTCAACTGAGAGCTGAGTTCGGCCGCTCTTGCCTATGGTGGGCCGCCCAGCGGTTCCCATGTCCGTGTAACGTGATCCCCCCCCCCCCCCCCCCTGCCCCCCCCCCTCCCCTGCAGGACTACGAGATGGGCCACGTCGCGCGCGCGGCATGCTCGGCGGGGGCGTGCAGAACGCGCAAAAGGCATCCTCAAAGGCGCAGAGCCAGGTGGAAGGCGCTGTCAAGAAAGTTGACTCGGCGCGGCCGTCAGCGAGAGCGCGCCCGAGGTGGTCCGAGGCTGTCCGAGACCGCTCGAGGTCGTGCGAGATTAGGCGACCGTCGACCAGAGCGAGCTGCCGTCCGCCGACGTCGAGGCGCCCGAGCCGGACCCAGTCACGCTCGACGCGGCGCCGGAGGAGGCCGCGGAGTGAGGTGGAGGCGAGCGAGGCCCTAGAAGCTGCGCAACCATGCGCATACCGCACCGATTGGCAGCCAGCCGCGCGCAGCGACGATATATGATGGGAAGCCTTAGAATGCGCCGGCACAATCTCGAGGTGTCCCCGCGACGGCGCTACTCCTACTCTACTGTCTGTACGGCAACACGTAGGTTGTAGATTTGCGTCATGAGAGACTCTCTCCTCTGTGTGTCTGTGCACCGCGCGTCTTGTCTCTCGTTGTATCTTTCCGTTTCTTTTGGTGCGCACGGCTCTATAAGGGTTCCGCGCCGTTTTCTCCAATACTGCCGTTATTAGGCACAAACCCGCCTCTGAAGACACATCTGCAAGTCTGGTGCACTGGCAGGAGCCATACTCCCATAGGGGACGCGTGCTCGCTGACTGTAGCCAGCTTCCCGGCCTCCGGCGTCTACCGGGAGCCTCCCGGACCATCGACCTCGGGAGCTCTCCCGCACCGTTTAAGCGTTTAAGACCGTTTAAGGAATCGGCGGCCCAGGCAGCCTTAAAATGGGCCATGGCCCCCTTTAAGCCGTTTAAGCCGCAGGCGCCCCAGGGCCCACCCTTTTAAGCCTAGGGGTCCCCTAAGAGAACACACCAGCGGCCCCCGGTCCCCGCTCCCGGTCCCGCTTGAGCCGCCATGTCCCCATGTTTGGAGCCCACGAGCGAATATTAGAGCTGCTGCTACAGCACGGCGCGGAGGTCAATCTGCAGAGCAGCAACAGCTACACCGCGCTGATGGGCGCCGCTTTTGGAGGCCACGAGCAGGTGGTCGAGCTGCTGATACGGCACGGCGCTGAGATCAACCTGCAGAACAGCGGCGGCTCCACCGCGCTGATGAACGCCGCCAACACGAGCGGTTGGTCTATAGCTGCTAATTCGACAGATCGCGGAGATCAACCTGCAGAGCGGCTACACCGCGCTGATGCTTGTCGCTGGTGGTGGTCGAGCTGCTGCTGCGACACGGCGCGGAGATCAACCGATCGTCTAACTCAGTTACCTACCCGCGTTAGCATAATTATTGTTGGAATTGGGGACGAAGACTTCACGAAGAATTAACAGAAACCTGTATAGGCCAAGGAGATGCGGGGTTTCCCGGTTAGATCGTCGCTAAAGCTAAAATAGACGTCAGATCCGTGATCAGCACGGTCGAATTAGGCGGTCCCCCCTCCCCCCGCCACCATTCAAACATCAGCCCCCCACAGGGGTGCCCCCCCGCGCTGCATCTGTGAATCAAAAAGAAGAAACAAAAGCGATCGCCGTCGAGCCAAAAGGAGATCGCCTTCCATGGCTGCCTCCAGGTTCGGCCCTCTTCGGCCCGCTCGGGCGCGCCCTTCCGCACATGGCCGAGACCCGCTTATAGGCGGCTCAGCCAGAGCCAAATGGCGAGGCCACGGCACCGAATGCGCCACCATGACCATGCTCGAGTTGGGTGGAGACGGTGGGCATGTGTGTATCGGTGTGGTTTTATCGTATATCGGCGAGTGTCTGTCCGCGCCGGCGCCGCAAGATGCACCCACCATTAAAAGGTGCTTCTTGAGAGTTGTGAACGAGGCCGCTTCTCTCAAAGTCGCATGATGGCGGCCGCCCGAGCGGCGCTTCAGCCAGCCCTCACGGCCCGGGCATGCACCCGCACACCCTCCTCTCGCGCATGCCGATGCGCTCAGTCGATGCGGTCGTGGTGCTGCAACTCTGCAGCGCTGCGACCGCACCGGTCTCCCGCGTCGCCGCCGTCGGTCGTGCCGCTCCCGCCAGCTCCGCTGCCCGCCGACGCGGTGGTACGCGCGCTCTCCGGATCCCGTCCGAGGGGCGGAGGCTCGAGCGTTGGTCCCGGGCGAGCCGCCAGACTCGAAGACGGCACCCCTAACCGCGTCCCCATCCTTAGCTTCTGTTCTTTCCTCCCCGTGAGCCGTCTCTGTCGCGAGACCGCCGAGTGTGTGCCCTCGTGAGTCCGTCAGGTACTTTTCGCGTATAAAAATCGGCTGCGCGGGCGTTCCATCTGGTGCTACCAACGGCCTGGCGGCCTCGGATCCGGCCTCGCAGGTCGACGCGAGCGCCAAGGTGGACCTGTCTCCAGCCTCTCGCGCCCCTCTCGGAGCCGTGAGAGGGTGCAGGCCGAAACCACAGCCGCTAACGTCCGTGTGGCCGAATGGGACCAAACTTTCGCCGCCGGGTCCCGGGCCACGGGTAATGGCACCGATCCCGCATTTTCCCCGACCTTTACTCGACGCTCTTGTGCCCCGAACTTTCCTCCCCCCGTCCCGAGCACGACCAGAGCTGCTCCGGCGTGGTTTGGAGCGAGGTACGGGTGGCGGCGGGTTCGAGTAAAGGTCGGGGAAAATGCGGGATCGGCGCCATTTCATAGGTGCTCCAACGCCCTAGCCGGCTCGGGAGCACTGTCCTGCCCGTTATATGCGCACCCGCTTACGCTTTTAGGCTCTCCGGCGGCCTCAGGAGCCTTGCCGAGGGCTGCTCCAGCGCGGTCACAGTGCCGTGGAGCCGGCCAGCGTGCTCGCAGCCATGCCGCTGGTGGACCATGCCCGCCTCCCGCCCGGCGGCGACAACCACAGCCCGCCTCAACGTCGGCGAAGCACCTCGGGCCCTTCGCGGCTGCGTTGTCTGTCCGGCTCCACGGGGCCTTTCCGAGACACTTCCGCGCGGGCCGAGGGACTCATCGGCCCCTCACATCCCGGAGGGACGGCGCACGCGCTGCCCAGTGACCGGGCGGGTCGGCCCCGACTAGGAGCGGCCCCAGCCGGGCGGAGAAGACCATCCCACTCGCGGTGCGTCGCACCGGCCGGTCCGGTTTTCGTCTCGAGCGGGTCGCGAGACGGCCGCGAGAGCGAGCACCGCGGTCACAGTGCCGTTGAGGCCACGGACGTCGCCGGAGCGGCACTCCCGGGGCGCCACTCCCTCACCCGGCCGGGGGGGGCCAACCACAGCCCGCCTCACCGTCCGTGAAGCTTCCGTGGTCCGCTGCTCCGGCTTCGATTTTCGACCCTCCCGAGGCTGCTAGAGCAGCCCCGCGGAGCCTCCCGGATGCACCAGCACACCGTCGTCCAGGACGACGGCGCAAGCGCTGCCCAGTGACCGGGCGGGTCGGCCCCGACTAGGGGCGGGCCCAGCCGCGCGGAGAAGACCACCGAGCTCGAAACACGTCGCCACGGCCGGCCGTTTCGCAAGCCTGAGCGGGTCGCCAGACACCCGCGAGAGCCAGCAGCTAGAGCGCCGTCGTAGCCGCAGATCGAGTCGAGGAGCTTGATGTCCACGGTAGCAGTTGTGGAGAGTGGTGGCGCGGTGCGTATAGAGGGGTCGATCGAGGGATCTTTTTCGAAACGCGACGGGTACGGCTTGACAACTGCCAGCACAGTTTTACGCCGGCCAGCGTGAGAGCACAACAGGGATCCGGCGACCCGTACGCTTTACGCGTGGCGGCCGGTGGCTGTCTGGAGCTCGTGCGAGCTGGGCCGACGCGTGGCCGAGCCGAGAGGACCAGCGAGCGACCACCTTGGCGATGAAGCTTGGCGGCCGGCGCCTCGTCGCCAGACGTCACAGCGGCGTGGACGCAGGAGTGTGCGGCGACGAGTACCGGCGAATCCGGCCCGGCGTGGCCGGCAGCTGCCTAGCGCTGGCCTGTGACCGGCGCCGCGGTGGCGGAAGAGGCGTCTCGCCGCCGTGGCGGCGGTCGGCAGGTGCGAGCGTGATGGCCATCGTGTGACAGAGTCCGGCGAAAGATTTTCTCAAGAATCACCTTAATTACCTGGACTTTTGCAGGTATAGAGGCATCAGCTTCGCAAAAAAGACCCGATGCGCGGCGGCCTGCGACGGCCCGGGATGAGCTCCCCACGATGCGACTAAGCGAGATCAATTGACCTACTGGACCTATAGTCCACCCCTGTCATGTCTATACTGACTGCAGACGACCACATGCCACACAGCATCACGCACAAGCACAAGACCCGGGATCGCAAAAAAGACCCGCGGTTCTCACACACACCCACGCGCTCGTGCATGCCGAACCAGCTCTAAAAAAATACCACCGGGACCGCCTCGCCAAGGCGCACAATAGTCAGACTGACAGTGTTTTCCAGTTGTGGCATCCTCGCACCTCGGCAGCCAGAAATAAATGGGGACCGGCAGACGGTCACAGAGGGTACGGGGTTGAGAGCATTTTCCAGCGGCCCAGGATGACGCATCTGGAAAATGCTGTCAGTGTGACTATTGTGCGCCTTGGCAAAGCGGTTCCGAAGTTATTTTTTCCGAGCGCGGTGGACTTCATCTTGCCGGCGGTACCCGACGCTGCTCGAACGGCAAGTTGTCGACCGCCGGCAGTTGACCGGCAAGATGAAGTCCACCGCGCTCGTAATCGGGATGTCCGGAACCGCCTCGCCGAGGCGCACAATAGTCCTCAGTCTGGCGAAGGCCAATTCTGTCATCCTGGGCGTCAGCAGCGTGCGACGACAGCGGTCTTCGTTGCGGAGCGGTCTTTTTTGCGAGGCGATGCCTCTAGGGATGGTCTTTTCTCGCAGCTGCGAGACATGCTTTCTCGGAGCGGGGCATCCAAAACAACAGGGCGGAAGGGAGGGGTGACCATACGCGCAGCGCAGGAGGGGTGCCCCTAAGGGGGCACAAAGGTAGCTCAAAGGGGAGTGAACAAGACGCCGCACAGGCGACGTGCACGCTCGCCGCCTGCGCTCGCCGCGTCGCTCTCTCCCTCCCCTTCTTTGCTTGAACTAGGGAATAAAGAGAGCTTCTGCGAGCCGCGCTCGGCCCCTGTCGGGCGCGATGGCCGCGGCAGTACCGCCGATCGATGTGCACTGCGTTCACGCGGGGCCCGACGCCCCCGTCCAGGGCCCCGCTGCCCACCCGCTGGTGGTGGCTACTGCCGTCCTCCGCTGGGGGCCGGTTGCGGCTGCGCCGTGCGGAGCAGCGCGCGTGCAGCTTCCGCACCACGCGATGCTGCGCGTCTTTGGCCGGCGGCTGCGCCTCGCGGCGCCCCCCGCCGGTACTCCCGCCCCGATGGTCTGCCCGCTGGACCTCGCTCTCACCGGAACCGCGTGGGCTCGCTTTCTGAACGAGCTGCTCACGTGCGGGCTCCTCGACGCAGCCCCCTTCTCCTCTTCGGCTGCACTACAGCTGGCGATCGACCGCCTCGATGTGTCGCCAGCGGCGCTGGAGGTGAAAGAGCCCGATCTCCTCCCGGTGGGGGGCCTCGCCGCCGCGGCCGCGCTGGCGGGAGATGCTGCTCATGCGCAGCGCGGGGCGCCTCGCCGAGCCAGCGCCGCGGCGTCTGCGGCGAGGCCGGCGGCGGCTGCACGCGCGGCCCTCGCGCCATGCCTCGCCCCGCTGGCCTGCACCCCGCTCTGGGCAGACGGTTACCTTCGCGAGCTGGCCCACGGAGCTGGCCCACGGAGCTGGCCCACGGAGGCTGGCCCACGGAGCTGGCCCACGGAGCTAGCCCACATGGAAGGTCGCCGGGAATGCGGCGTAAAGCATCCTGCGCCTGGGTGACGGCGATAAACTACCTTCCATCGGACTGGGTGACTGTCCTTAAAATACCTTCCATCGGAGCTCCTACCTGGGTGACGTCTCCAGCCCCCAAATACCGGACCAGCCCAAGGTGATGGCTCTAAAATTCCAGCCAGCCTCGGTGATGGCTCTATAATATACACCTATAGGTGAGCCGTCGGCAACCATGGCACGCTGGCTTCGCTTCGCTAACACGCTGGGGGCGCTCGAGCTCCTCGCCGCCGACGTCGCGCCGCGGCGGCAGCGCGCCCGCATTGCCTGGCGCCCGACGATTTGGCCCGCCAGTTCATCCTGCTGTCGCGGGCGCTTCACCTCTTCGTCGACCGCGCTCGCTCGCCGGCCAGTCTCGGCGCGGTCCGCTACCGCCGACGGCGGCTCGGCGAGCGGCGCTGGCGCGTGCCTCGCTCGGGCTCGTTCGCGCCGCGGCGGCAGCGCGCCCGCATTCTGCCTGGCGCCCGACGATTTGTCCTGACAGTGGCCCGTCGCTCCCGCTTCGAAGCGCTGCCGCCGTCAGCACAAACCGCCGCCACTGCCGTCGCGCCCTGCGCCAGTGCGGCGGGGCGCACCCCCTAGCGCCCAGCTGGGCCTTGACACGGCATCCTACCGTCGGGGCAACTCAGCTCAACGATTGGGTGAATTCCGGATGACTGCGCATAATGGGGTTGACCCGCCGCGCAGCAAGCCGGTGTTCACGCCAATTCGAGCTACTACATCGCATCGCTTCACGTTCCGAGCCATACGCACCTTACAACAATGGGGCAGGAGTTAAATCGGCTCGCGCCGAGCTCCTGCTGTCGTCATCGTCGTCCTATGGGCGTGCGAGGGCGGCGGGCACCGACGGCTCAGCCGAGTCGGGTCGGTAAAGCCCTCCCACTGTTCTTCGGTGGCACTGTCGCGAGACGGTTGGCCGATCGGAATCCATTAACTACTACGTGGAGTTCATCCCCTGATGAACGACTCATGGTCAGATTGCCCATCTCGACTGCCCGTTGTCAACATCACTAGGGAGATTTGATTGGCGCTGGCGCCTGCTGTTGACAAGTGGGATCATCTGGCTTCCGGAATACTTCCGCGAACCTGCCCCCAGCAGGCGTTTGACCAAGATCCAAATTTCCCTACTCCAGTTGAGGCTGCCCTCGGACCCGAGAAGGTCTTTTCTCGCAGCTGCGAGACATGCTTTCTCGGAGCGGGGCATCCAAAACAACAGGGCGGAAGGGAGGGGTGACCATACGCGCAGCGCAGGAGGGGTGCCCCTAAGGGGGCACAAAGGTAGCTCAAAGGGGAGTGAACAAGACGCCGCACAGGCGACGTGCACGCTCGCCGCCTGCGCTCGCCGCGTCGCTCTCTCCCTCCCCTTCTTTGCTTGAACCCACCACCATCCCCTGTCACCTCCGTGTGTGTGTGCCTGCTGGGGGATCATCTGGCTTCCGGAATACTTCCGCGAACCTGCCCCCAGCAGGCGTTTGACCAAGATCCGAATACTTCCGCGAACCTGCCCCCAGCAGGCGTTTGACCAAGATCCAAATTTCCCTACTCCAGTTGAGGCTGCCCTCGGACCCGAGAACCCCTATTGTGATGTTGGATCCCTACCTGGGTTTTACCCGGACATGGTGTGTGGTGCCAACACCGTGCTAACGGCTGTGTTAACGCTTGTTTTGGGACTGCCGTTCAACTGTGTTAACACCGACCTTTGCGCCAAGTGTTGGCACGATCTGTAGTCAGTGCTGCCCCTGAGGTGTGCTAATGTTAGTCCACCAGCCCTAATAGGGCTCGTCTCAGTCTCGGGCTGGGGCAGCGGCGGGCTAGCAGGGGCGGATTTGGCCCGGCGGCGGGCGGGACTAGCAGAGGGATGGCTCCCACCGGCACTACTGCCCGTCTCGATCAGCAGTAGCCGTACGGATAATCCTGCCCGGCCCAGACTGGCCCCAGGTCGCAGGAGTCGGGCTTGGGGTCGACCTGAGGCAGGGGAGGGGGTCCGGCAAGCCCGCTTTCACCGCTGCAATGGGACGCCATTTCCCACAGTGCGGTGTGGGGGTGTGCGAGGAGGGGAGGGCCAGTGCGGAGGGGGCGGGAGAGGGGGAGAGGCGCGCACCCAGATGCCTCCGTCCACGCGCACCAGGTTGGGCATCGTCAGAGTGGCGAGGTTGCGGTTGCCCGACACCTGTCGCGGTGGCGAGGGGCGCGGGGCTGCCTGGGCAGGGTGCGGTGTAGGGCGGTGCGAGGAGGGGAGGCAGTGCGGAGGGGGCGGGAGGGAGAGGCGCGCACGTGGATCTCTCCGCCCACTGGTGGCCAACCCCAACTCGCTCGGTGCAATTCCACCAGGTTGTTCATCGTCAGAGAGGTGAGGTTGGGGTTGTACTCCACCTGCCGCGGTGGCGAGGGCGCGGGGCTGGGCAGCGAAGCGGAGGAGGGGTGTGCGCGAGGCAGTTCGGGTCGAAGGAGCGGGAGAGAGGGGGGGGAGGCGCGCACCAAGATGTTTCCCCCCACCACGCGCACCAGGTTGTTCATCGTCAGAGAGGCGAGGTTGGCGTTGGCCTGCACCTGTCGCGGTGGCGAGGGGCGCGGGGCTGGGCAGCGGTGCGGTGCAGGTCGCTGTCGCGGTGGCGAGGGCGCGGGGGAGGGGGGGCAGTGCGGAGGGGCGGGAGAGGGAGAGAGGCGCGCACGTAGAGGCCTCCGATCCTCACTTCCCGCAGGTTGTTCATCGTTAGAGAGGTGAGCTTGGGGTTGTTAAACACCTGCCGCGGTGGCGAGCCGCGGTGGCGAAGGCGCGGGGCTGGGCAGCGAAGCGGAGGAGGGGTGTGCGCGAGGAAGGGGGGCAGTTCGGATCGAAGGAGCGGGAGAGAGGGGGAGAGGCGCGCACGTTGATGCCATTGATGCGCTCCAGGTTGTTCATCGTCAGCGAGGCGAGGTTGGCGTTGTTCTCCACCTGTCGCGGCGGCGAGGGCGGGGGGCTGGACAGCGGTGCGGTGCGCGAGGAGGGGAGGCACAGTGCGGAAGGAGCGGGAGAAACTGAGGGGGAGAAGCGCGCACGTAGATATCCCCGAACTCGGAGGGGAACGGCATCACTTCCCGCAGGTTGTCCATCGTCAGCGAGGTGAGGTTGGGGTTGCGCGTCACCTGTCGCGGTGGCGACGGCGCGGGGCTGGGCAACGGTGCGTTGTGGGGGTGTGCGGCAGGGGAGGCTGTGCAACCAACGGGGCGGGAGGGAGAGGCGCGCACGGAGATGTCTCCGACCACGTCCTCCAGGTTGGGCATCGTCAGAGTGGCGAGGTTGGGGTTGTACTCCACCTGTCGCGGTGGCGAGGGAGCGGGCTGGGCAGCGGTGCGGTGTAGGGCGGTGCGAGGAGGGGAGGCAGTGCGGAGGGGGCGAGAGGGGGAGAGGCGCGCACGGAGATGTCTCCCCCCACGTCCTCCAGGTTGTTCATCGTCAGCAAGGCGAGGTTGTCGTTGTGCGACACCTGTCACGGTGGCGAGGGGCGCGGGGCTGGGCAGAGGCGCGGTGCGTGGAGGGCGGTGCAAGGAGGGGCGGCAGTGCGGAGGGGCGGGAGAGAGAGAGGCGCGCACGTCGATGCCTCCGCCCACGCCCCGCAGGTGGTTCATCGTCAGCGAGACGAGGTTGTCGTTGGTCTTCACCTGTCGCGGTGACGAGGGCGCAGGGCTGGGCAACGGTGCGGTGTAGGGCGTTGCGAGGAGGGGAGGCAGTGCGGAGGGGGCGGGAGGGAGAGGCGCGCACGGAGATGTCTCCGACCACGTCCTCCAGGTTGTTCATCGTCAGAGAGATGAGCTTGGGGTTGTACTCCACCTGTCGCGGTGGCCGGGGAGCGGAGCTGGGCAACTGTGTGCGGTGTAGGGCGGTGCAAGGAGGGGAGGCAGTGCGGAGGGGCGAGAGGGGGAGAGGCGCGCACGTCGATGCCTCCGCCCACGCCCCGCAGGTGGTTCATCGTCAGCGAGACGAGGTTGTCGTTGGTCTTAACCTGTCGCGGTGGCGAGGGCGGGGGGCTGGACAGCGGTGCGGTGTAGGGCGGTGCGAGGATGGGAGGCAGTGCGGAGGGGCGAAAGAGGGGGAGAGGCGCGCACGTCGATGTCTCCGACCACGTCCTCCAGGTTGTTCATCGTCAGAGAGATGAGCTTGGGGTTGTACTCCACCTGCCGCGGTGGCGGGGGAGCGGGGCTGGTCAGCGGTGCGGTGGAGGGCGGGAGAGGGGGAGAGGCGCGCACCCAGATGCCTCCGTCCACGCGCACCAGGTTGGGCATCGTCAGAGTGGCGAGGTTGTGGCTGGCCACCACCTGTCGCGGTGGCGGGGGAGCGGGGCTAGGCAGAGCGATATGGTGTAATGCGGTGCAAGGAGGGGAGGCAGTGCGGAGGGGCGGGAGGGGGAGAGGCGCGCACGAAGATGCGCCCGCTCACGTTCACCAGGTTGTCCATCGTCAACGAGGCGAGGTTGGAGTTGCTGTACACCTGTCGCGGTGGCGAGGGCGCGGGGCTGGGCAGCGGTGCGGTGCAGGGCGGCGCGAGGAGGGGAGGCAGTGCGGAGGGGGCGGGAGGGGGGAGAGGCGCGCACACCCCGATGCCTCCGAACCTTCCCCCTCGGGGTCCCCCGCCCGCGTACACCAGGTTGGGCATCGCCAGCGAGCCGAGGTTGTTGTTGACCGCCACCTGTCGCGGTGGCGAGGACGCGCGGCTGCGGTGTAGGGCGGTGCAAGGAGGGGAGGCAGTGCGGAGGGGCGAGGGGGGGAGAGGCGCGCACGTCGATGTCTCCCCCCACGCCCCGCAGGTTGTTCATCGTCAGAGTGGCGAGGTTGAGGTTGAACCACACCTGTCGCGGTGGCGAGGGAGCGGGGCTGGACAGCGGTGCAGTGCAGGGCGGTGCGAGGAGGGGAGGCAGTGCGGAGGGGCGAGAGGGGGAGAGGCGTGCACGGTGATGTCTCCCCCTACGTCCTCCAGGTTGTTCATCGTCAGCAAGGCGAGGTTGTCGTTGTGCGACACCTGTCACGGTGGCGAGGGGCGCGGGGCTGCCTGGGCAGGGTGCGGTGTAGGGCGGTGCGAGGAGGGGAGGCAGTGCGGAGGGGGCGGGAGGGAGAGGCGCGCACGGAGATGTCTCCGTACTCCACGTGCAACAGGTTGTTCATCGTCAGCGAGATGAGCTTTTCGTTGTGCTCCACCTGTGTCGCGGTGGCGACGGCGCGGGGCTGGGCAACGGTGCGTTGTGGGGGTGTGCGGCAGGGGAGGCTGTGCAACCAACGGGGCGGGAGGGAGAGGCGCGCACGGAGATGTCTCCGACCACGTCCTCCAGGTTGTTCATCGTCAGAGAGATGAGCTTGGGGTTGTACTCCACCTGTCGCGGTGGCGGGGGAGCGGGGCTGGTCAGCGGTGCGGTGTAATGCGGTGCGAGGAGGGGAGGCAGTGCGAAGGGGCGAGAGGGGGAGAGGCGCGCACGTCGATGCCTCCGCCCACGCCCCGCAGGTGGTTCATCGTCAGCGAGACGAGGTTGTCGTTGGTCTTCACCTGTCGCGAGGGCGGGGGGCTGAGCAGCGGTGCGGTGTAGGGGTGTGCGGCAGGGGCGGCAGTGCGGATGGGCGGGAGAGGGGGAGAGGCGCGCACCAAGATGCCTCCGTCCACGCGCTCCGGCTTGGGCATCGTCAGAGTGGCGAGGTTGGGGTTGTTCGTCACCTGTTCGCGGTGACGAGTGAGCGGTGCGGTGCAGCGGTGCGGTGCAGGGGTGTGCGGAGTGGAGGCGGTGCGGAGGGGGAGAGGCGGGGGGGAGAGGCGCGCACACCCAAATGTCTCCGCGCACGTCCGCCAGGTTGTTCATCGTCAGAGAGATGAGCTTGGGGTTGTACTCCACCTGCCGCGGTGGCGAGGGGCGCAGGGCTGGGCAGCGGTGTGGTGGAGGGCGGTGAGGGGAGGGGGGGCAGTGCGGAGGGGGCGGGAGAGGGAGAGAGGCGCGCACGTTGATGGTCCTGCCAACGTTCTCCAGGTTGTTCATCGTCAGCGAGGTGAGGTTGGGGTTGCGCGTCACCTGCCGCGGTGGCGAGGGGCGCAGGGCTGGGCAGTGGTGCGGTGCAGGGCGGTGAGGGGAGCGGAGGGCCAGTGCGGAGGGGGCGGGAGGGGGAGAGGCGCGCACCAAGATACCCCCGAGCACGTCCCGCAGGCTGGGCAGGTTGACGTCTCCGCTTGCGTCGCCGTCAATCAAACTGCCGGTCACCGTTTGACACCCCTGCCGAAGCGCATCTGCCAGAAAGCGGTTTCCCTTACACACGACGGCAGGCGTCGCCACTTGGGCGGGAGCAAAGTTCGGCCCGCGTCCGGTCGGCAGCGCCAGGTTTGCATTCAGCACAGCCAACATGAATGACGGCGGCCTCTTTCGCACGAGAGAGAAGCCGAGAATAAAGAATTTATCCTCGAAGGCGGTCGCATGACACGATTCACGCGACAGGCGAGGCGCGGGCGACGGCTTCCTCAGAAGCCGTCGCCCGCACCACAGGAGCAGTCACACCACTCCCACTCCGGCGCCCACCTACTCTTCACCCCGACATCCCCACCCCACCCCACAACCCCGCCCCCCCCCCGACCCGAGCAACCCCGCCCCAACCCGACCCGACCCGATCCACCCCGCCCCGCCCCGCCCCGCCCCCCCCACCGGACCAACCCGCGAGCCGCTCCCGGCTCCGCCCCTCGCCCAATCCCCACCCGCGCCTGCGCCTGCCACCCGCGCCGCCTCCCCGACGCGCGCACGCGACGCCAGCCACCTCGCCCGCCGCCCCGCCCGCCGCCCGCCGCCTCGCCCGGCCTTCGCGCCCGAGAATAAAAAAAATTACAACAACTCACTCGCACAACACTGGGCACGGGACTGGCGCGCACTGGTACTGACACAGGTACGGTGCGAGAATAAAGAATAGGATCGCCTAGTGTGGAGACGCCGTGTACCGTGGGGCCTTGTTGTCCCAGCACGGGAGAGTACCCGTGTGGACCGGAGGTAACAGCAGCAGCAGCAGCAGCTGGCGCAACACTGGGCACGGGACTGGCGCGAAATGGCAGTAACATGGACACGGGGGCGCGCGTCACCGAGGCGGACTGCAAGGTCGCCTCCAACTAATAATAATAATACGCGCCTGTGCGCTGCGTGGCGCGGCCGCGCCCGCGCGCCGCGCGCCGCGGGCGTGGCTTGCCGGGGCCCGTGGCGTAAACTCTGTCTGTCATGTGCACATCAACATGTACATACATGTACATGTTGTTGTTGTTGCAATAAAAATAATACGGGCCCAGACCAACAAAGGCGCGCGCACAGACCGCGGCGCAGCAGCAGCTCACGAGACGAGGGTCGACGCGGTGGCGGCCTCGTACTTGAAGTTGGGCGCGACAGCCTTGACCTCCTTGTAGTAGCGCGGCGGTGGATGCGGCTCTCGATCAGAAAGACGTATGCATTGCCTATCCAGGGCTATCACCTGGACCTATCAACAGGCGCCTGCGGCGCCGTGGTCAGGAGCTGCTGTTCACGCCGGTCCACACTTTCATAGTGGACAGTATGGAGTATGCTTATCTGTAATCTGAGGGTCCACCGTGTCGTTGTGACGAGAGAGTACGTTCCCCACCCGTCGACAATCGGGTGGGGGTTGCAAGTCGTCTCGTCGCTCACTTTCCGCCCACCATCTTGCGCGCGGCAAAGACGGCACCCGCCAGGGCGGCCACGGCGGCAGCGAGCTCGAGCGAGGAGAGTGGCTCGACCACCTGTTCCAGACGAGACGACGAGACGCATTTGCGGGCCAAGTAGGGGGCGGGTGGGCGGGGTGGGTGGTGGTGGTGGGTGGTGGTGGTGGGGGGGTGGGGGGGGGGGGTGGGGGGGGGGGCTCCTCGCCATCGATGTAATGCACCCCCTTTTGGGTTCGCGGCCGCCCCGAAAATGCGGCCCGAGGAAGGGGCAGGCCGCCCCGACAAGCGGTACAAGGTACTTGTTGGCGGCCACGACAGCCGCGCTGTTGTAACAAGGCGCAACCCCTTCGAACAACGGCCAGGCGCGGTACTTGGGGAGGGGGGTTTGGAGCCCCTCGGGCCAGAACCTTTGAAAATTTTAGGACCGCCCCC